AAAATATCAAATCTTAATAGTTTTCAGTTGGACCTCAAGCTTTATCTTTTTGTATCTTTAGATCTAATGCTATTTCACATTTTTTTATTAATCTTTTGTATATCTTATTATTTTTTGATCATTGCCATCTAAAATAGTTAATGTTTTGTAATTTTCACCATTTCTCAATATGATATCTCCAAATTTTCTTATTGTCTTCATGTCTAATTGAGACCCAATTAACATCTCTTCTATTGCATATTGGTTGATCAAAATATCTAGATTTTTCTCTTTCCATAATTCTCTTGTATATCTACTTTTCTTTTCCTAGAGCTAAGCGTATGATATAAATCATAGAATGCTAAGACCTTATTTCGGATTATTATTTTTATTTATTTAAATAGTTAACAAGAAAACAAAATATGTCTACTTGTTTTTTGTTTTAAGAAACCTATTTTTAAAAATAAAATATTATAAATATTTTGAGATGTTTTGAATATTATAAAGATATATATGTTTTTTCGTCCCAACTCATAGCTGTCTTTAAAATATTATATGGACTGGTTTAAATTATTCATCATTTCTTTTTTGGGTCAAATTTAAATATACTGCCTGCCAACTTTTATTAGCATCTTTTTTCCTTAAAATGTGTTTTGAATTATGAATGCATAATTGTAGTATAGGATTTAAAAATTTTCCCACCCCTTCATCTGAGCTTATGAAGTGGAACCATTTCTATTCATCGGCTTTTTTTTCCCTTTAACATTAAATTATGATGTTTTTGTTATTTTGTCAATCCAAACTGTTGAGTAGCTTGCAGTCCTGCTACTGCAGCTTTAGTGAACTAAAAAATAGAAGCCCATGCTTATAATGGGACAACAAAATACCAATAGATGGAGTAATTAACGTGAATGGATGTTAGGTGAAGGGAGAAGCTAAGGAGAGGGAAATTTCAGTCCTAATTTGCTTTAAAAAAAAAGTCATGCATAAAAAGAATAAGGATTTCCATTTATTTTGGTGTTTAAGAGGTTGTAACATCATTGCAAGAAATTTGAAGGTAAATTATGCCTAAGGTATGATCGCCCTAGATATCTTTAATGAGATGATTCATATCCTATTTTTCTTGTGCGGAATGTTATTTGGTATTGCAGAAATCCTATTTTTCTTGTGCAGAATGTTATTTGGTATTGCAGAAAAAATTCTTTTAATTCTTTATGACCTTGTCATTTTCATCCTTTATTTTTCCTAATGTTAATGGTCCTATTGCTAAGTTTATGATCATTTAAGTTCTCAGGCATTCCTTGATGATTGCATATAAGGTAATTTGGCTACCTCAATAGTGACCTCATGTACGCAAGTTCGAATATGGAACTGTCTTTTTGTTTATGGGATCAAAAGGTATACTGGGTGCATGAAGCTCCAACCAACGCATGCCAATTGACAATTGATGTTTCGCAATCTCATGCCTCTGTTTACAGAGTTCCTTTTTGTGTTTGTGTGGGTGACCTTAATATTATAATGGAAGTCAACTAACCACTTTTTATATTTTATATTTTTCTATTTTAATTTTTTTTTTAATTTTTCCTTATTTTATTTTTATTTTTATTTATTTTTGTTAACCACTATTTGAGACCCATACTCTTGTTCAGTAAGTATGTTTAAGTCAATCCTTCTCTATGCCTTGTTGTTAGTGAACTTCATGCAGTAGGTAAGTTATCCTAGACTTAATCAATTGATTTGTTTCATGAAAGTTTACCAATAACTTGTAGGCAGTATCAAGGATTATCATGCTTTGTTTAAAATGGCTATTAAAGTCACTACTACCTAACATGCTTTTTGAGATCATTTGATTATCATGCTTTGTTTAAAATGGCTATTAAATTCCCTACTACATAACGTACTTTTTGAAATCATTTTGCCTTTAAAAAATCCTCTGGATATGTTACAACAACAACAAAATCAAGCCTTTATCCCACTATGTAGGATTGGCTACATGAATCTTTTTTGTCCATTGTGTCTTTTTAAGAGTCAATTTCTCATTTAAATTTAATAAAAAAAAGATCATTTCTAATATTTTCTAACCTAGTCTTTTAGGTTCACTTATTCCTTTTTTAATGTAGGCCAAATCCAATACATCTACTCTCCTAAACCGGTCGTTGGAAGGCCGATGTTTTTTGTGTCCAAACCATCTAAGGCGACTCCTAAACTTATCTGCCATTGGAGCTACTCCAACCTTTTCATGTTCATACCCATTTCACATTCTATCTCTAAGGGGCTGTTTGGTAGAATCTAGGATTTCATTTAAGTAGGATTTCGTAAATCCTCCAAATCCGAATTTACGAAATCCGGGGGGGATTAAATCTTGAAAATTGTTTGGTAACATTCATGATAAATCCTGTGTGACTGTTTGGCTATGCAAGTCAGGATTTAAGGCAGTTAAAAGATTTAATATTTACCGAATCCGGCCTTAAATCCTCTCGCGCCAATAAGAAGTTAAATCCGCCGAATTGGTGGATTTGCGAAATCTGGGATTTACCGCAAAAGGTGGTCTTTTTCCGTCAACCGCGGATTCCATTTACCGTGAGTTTTGGATTTGCATTTTAGGCCGTTTGGCTGGATTTCGCCGGAATCCGGCCTAAATCCGCATACCAAAGAGCCCCCAAGAGTGAAGCCACTCATCCACCTGAGCATCCTCATCTCTGCAACACTTAACTTTATGCTTCTATTTTAATAATTATCATTCTGTGCCATAAAGCATTGTAGGTCTCACCATCATCTTATAAGATTTGAATGACCAAATTTGAGGTGTTCTTTTCTATCATACAACAAGCTCAATGCATTCATCCACTTCAAGCTCCAACTTGAATTCTACTAATAATATCCTTTGGATATATTGAAAATGTAAAATAAACTAGAAGCTATAAAGTTGGTTGTTTAGTGCTATAACAAGGAAAATATGGGGGAATTAGGCTAATTTGGCTCTGTTGGGCGGTTAATGTATTGTTGTTAAATAAAGCATGACTGTTTGGTAACATCTTTTAAGAATTTTGATTTTTTGGTAACATGTGGTGTTGATACGAGTTGGTAGAATGTAATAAAATTGGATATATTATGAATTTTATATAATTACAACATAATGTATTAACTTTAATTAGTTTGTATTTGATTAAAATAACCTATTAATCGTTCAATTTGATAAAAAGATGAAATTTCTAAAAAAATCTAAAAAATGGATTTTTGTTTGGGAGAACTAATCTATGGAAACTACATTTAAGCCTCAATATATTTGGACTATTTCGTACAGCTATTATTCCATAAAACTTCCTTTTGTTTTCAAGGATGACGATGTAGAACACAGAGCTATACCTAACAGAGGCTTAGTCATATGCCTAAGGAATTTTTTTCCATAAGCTGCGTTGATCCGATCTAGAGTTGACCCAAAAAATTCGGTTTCGGGTTGACCCATTTAATGAATGGGTCGGATTTGGGTCATGCATTTTGACAATTTATTAAACGGGTCAGGTTAACCCGTTAACTTGATTTTGATTCAAAAAAGACCCATTTAATATTTTTTTTCTCATTCTTTTATTTGTTTGTATGATCTTTTTATTACTTAACCAAAAAATGTATGGTTATCAAGTGACTAATTTTTTTTAAATTAAAACAGGTTATCGGGTTGGGCTTGAGTTGCTAGCGAGTTGAGTTTGGATCCGTCTTTTTGACTTGTTTGTTAAACAGTTTGGGTTTGGGTTCATCAAATTCGGGTCAGGTCAATTTCGGGTCGGACTCAAACCCAATGTGTTGAGCTGTTTTGACACCCTATTGGTTTCTATTTCTCTTAACCTTATGTTGTTAGTCCTATAAGATAAAACTACTCAAAATCATGGGGGTAGATGTCTTAGGCTGTGTTTAATTGTTAGGAACTTTCAGAAACCTCTAGGTCTTAATTAGCACGATTATCTAAAATTAAGTGTTTGGCTCAATAACCAGGAAAAGATCTCCCCGGCAATAAAGGCCTCCAAATATGTTGGCATTTTTCCACATGGCCTGTGCTGGGTTCCATGCCACTCAACCCATCCCTCTTGCTCATCTCTACCTTGATCCCATTCCTCCCACTTCTATATTGACTCGTTCACCCTTCTGTCATCTCTTGCCTCCCCCTGCCCCTCTCTTGTCATCTTACTTCCCTCAATTTCCACCTCCCTCCCTCCTTTGCACTTAAACCAATCTCCCCATCCATTCTCTCTATACATCTCCCCATATGTTTCCTTCTCATGTCAGTGTATTTCTGAAAACCACGTTTTCCCTTTTTCCTAGTAAGTTTGTATGATTATATTTTAATTTTTGTTGAATCGTAATTTTGCTGTAACAAATGAAAACCATGTTATGGAATCTCGATTACAGATGATGCCAATCCCATCCTATGGAAGCAGGCCCAAGTCCACAGGATGCTTATTATTTTTGTTGCTTTGTATTTTTTCATATTTTCTACCCATCTTTAAGCTTGTTTTGTTGTATAATGTGGTGCTGCAATTAAAGCACCATTAATGCATTTGCCTTACTTCCATCTACCTCTTTAGATTTTATATTATTTTATTAGTTAATTTGTTTGTGGATTTTGTGATTTCTATCTGCTTTTGCTCCAGAGTCTTATTTTTATAGGATTTGGTTCATGATGAAATTTTCATTTGATGTGCATTTTTTGCTTAAGATCAAGATAAAAGCTTCGTCTAGGACTCTATGGGAATTCAGGTTCTCATGTTGCAGTAATAAACAATTTAGCGATGAAGTACATCAAAATTTACACCTGATATTCTAAAGCTAAATATCACGTTCAATATTTACAATTCACAGGTATAAATGCCACAATCATGCACATTCATGCTTTTACACACACCATTCTATTTCCGGTGGTTGCCATCTTCTCCTTTCTGAATTCTGCTTCAATCAATTATATTACACATTGAAATGCGTCAACATGTTATTTTGTGTAAAGATTTGCATTTTTATTTTCTTGACAGGGACATCTTCACACATATAGATTCTGTGACAACGTCTGGACCTTCATCTTACGGGATGCAACTTTTAAGAATGAGGAGTGCCAGGAGAATGTTGGCCGGGTAAAGATTGTAGCTTGTGACTCAAAGTTGCTTGCTCAGTCCTAAGTGCATCTCTCTCTCTCTCTCTCTATATATATATATAACATGAATACTATATAATATAACATGAATACTATATAAGAGAAGCATGATATGCTTTTGAATTCGCCGCTTGGCGGCTGATATGTAATGTTTAACTTACCACATGAATGCTTTCAGTATGCTGCATTGCTGCTGTTCTTCTGGTCCTCTACCTGTAGCTGATTCTGGTATGCTCCTTTGGTTTTAGTCTTTGTTAGCTGGAGTAATTTTTAAGGTTGTTTAGGCTAGTTTGTTCTAATGCAGTAGGTAAAAATTAACTATAAAATGATTAAGAAACGTGTTTTGTGGGGGAGCTTGTACTTTTTGTTTTGCGGTAAATTGTTCTAATCTCAAACCAGCAATTTAGAACTTTATGTTCTTGCTTTGTTTGCTGGTTGTTTTGATTTACTTTGAAATTGAAGCAATTGAATGAGCCTCAAGTGTAAGAGCTGATTTTTATCTCCTTTTATTTTTTAATTTTCTTACAATGATAGTTTGGATAACTTGCTAGAAAAAGATATATTTTTTTATTGATAGTTTAGTTAACTAATTAATTCAATATATATATATATCTAATTTTATGAAATAAAAAAAATTCTTCTTGATCACTAAATTGACATCATTACTGTTGTTAATGCTAAATGTATTAGTTTTATGACCACATGTTACACGTGGAGCTTATTATTGATTTAATGATTATGAATTTAATGTTTTATCATCAACTGAAGTTTGTTATGTTCGTTTCAATGTTCAATTATGATAGAAACTACAGTAGCTTAAAGTATTGTTATTTGAAGATAGGCTACAAGTAGCACACAAGATAAGTCAAGTGCAATGTCAGGATGTACACAACTCTCCTTGGCCTATTGGTTGAGAGCTTAGGCTTCCAACTAAAAGGTCCAAGGTTCGAGTCTATGTGTATGTGTTGTGTGTGTGAGTTTGCCTTAAATGGCCTAAATGTCCCAAAAAAATGTCAGGATGTAGCTAGTTTAATGAATAGTGTCTAAGATTATGTTTTTGTGCATATTTGTACATTATATTTTTAACTTATGCATTCCTTGTATTATTTCTTATTTTTTAACATTAAATTAATTGTTACATTATTTGCTTCCTTTTTGTGGTCAAATTATATTTTATGCTTTACATCAGTTTGATAGTGTGGTAAATTCATTGTTGGACACTTTTACATAAACAATTATGAAGAATGCTGACATCATGTATAAGCAAGTCTTAATTGGACCCCAAAAGAGGTTAAGAAATTAATTATCAAACTTAACCTCTTTTCTTAGGTGAATCTATGGGGTTGCTAAAGGCACCTTTTATTGATGTTAGAGATGGGATGCAAACTTATTGTGAATGGCCACCTCATAAAGATCACTAGAGATGATAATAATGATTATTTTGCCCATGTTAACATAAAGGAAAATATATATATATATATATATTTATTTCACGATGTATCATCATTGGTATCATTTATGATAGAGGTTGAGTTTAGAGTTTGAGCTCATTAAATTTTTATAAAGAGGGTGAAATTTGAGGCATTTCTAGAGGTTCATGAATGAGATGCTATAGGGGTAGACATTTATAAATTATTTTGCTAAGCTACTTTGTTGTTATATAATGTTATTGTAATGTGCAAATGCATATTGTTGACCAAGTGAAGGTAATATGGGAGCTTGCGCATATATCTTATCCATTCATGCAAAAAATGGGTATATAATAAATACAAAAATTAAGCCATATAGGAGAATATCACATTTTTGGATTATTGTTCATTTGCAATAGATTTAAAAGAAAATATATTTCTACCTTTTGATCTAGCCACAGTAGCAGCAACAACAACAATAAGTTTTTATCGCAGTAGGTGGGGTTACCTTTTGGAAGAATTATTGTGCCTGGACATCGGAACCGAGCACTTAGTGATGTTGTGCATTTTTATTGGTCTTTGGACACGTTCAGTGTCCGGATACAATAATCTCTCATTGCATTTATTAGAAATATCTAATTATTGAACAATTGTTAGTTGTGTATATGATTTGGGTATTGCAATATTGTGAATGTGCGAAGCATATCTACCAGTTTTTGTTGTATTTTTGCAGACTGAAAGTTATATTGAAGAATGCCAGCAGCAAATACATTGTAGATTTCTACAGGTTGGGACCTCCTCCTAGACTAAAAAAGGAGGGGCTAAAGAGTAAAAAAAATGAGGGCAAATTCTCTATTTTCTAAAAGAAATCCTTCTCTCTCAAATTTACCCTTCATCTCATCTTATTATCTTTGGTGGAATTAACTATACTATCTAATATCACCATCATGATCATCACTCATAAATTCATGCAACAATGACTTTTTATGCTCGCATTGAGTCCAAAAGATATCTACTAGTAGGCAAAGGAACTCTCTTTCCACCATAATGCTCCCGAAACATCCATTGTAGTAGGGTACATAACCCAAGCATGATTTTGAGAACTAGTCTCCAAACCTGGTAACATGGCTCGATTGGTAAATGAAGGCTTCGTTTGAGACAGCTTTCTTATTGTTTTTAAAAGTACCTTTCATGTACAAAAACATTTTAAACTTAAATTTGTTTTAAAAGTAGTAAGAAAGTTGTCCCAAACAAAATCAAAGCCATTTTAGAAGGTATGATTTTTGACCATTTAGTTTAATTTGATGTATTATTATTCTATAAGCATGTTAATATATGAACAGTACATGCTCAAGAAAGCTCCACCATAGTGAGATTGAGTGTCCCTTGTAGTTTTATCTTCTACCTTGCCTATATAATGGAAAAAAAAAACAAATAGCCATCCTAATGTATCTACTAATTAAAGATGATTGAAGCCATAGGAGGTACGTTACAGAGATAATCAATGGTGACACAACACAATCGTGAATGAAACTAACACCTATTCAAGTTAAAGGGGCTAGAGAAATGCTAATTCTCATAACTCTATGCCTCTCTTAGTTCTCAGCTAAGCCTATTAGCACTTGGGCTTCGTTTATGACAGCTTTTTTATTACTTTCTAAAGAAATTTTTAAGAACTCAAAGTTTTTGTACTAAAAACTATTTAAAAACAACAAAAAAGTTGTCTCAAACAAAGCGTTAATTAGCTGGGACAATTAACTCTATAGATCTCTTCCATCCTCCACAAACCAAAACAAATAAGTAACACCTCTTCTATAATGATCCTACACACCATTATCCATTGGTTGGTGGAGTAGAAGCAATAGAAGTTGAAACATCCACTGCAGTAGGGTACATAACCCAAGCATGATTTTGAGAACTAGGCTTGAAGCCTAGTAACATGGCTTGATTGGTGCATGAAGGATTCGTTTGAGATAGCTTTTTTATTATTTTTTAAAGTAACTTTTTGTTTGATTAAGAAGTTGTTGAGTTATAAAAAACTTAATTTTATTTGGGAATAGTTAATTTTTTGGAATTTCAATTTTGAAAGTGAACATGTCATTATAAACGATATATCACATAGGAGGTGAACATATCATTCCCTAATGTGTTAAGATTATAAAATATTGAGCTTACCCTAATTATCGTAGTTAGATTTAGGAAAGAACCATATATGACCCCAAAGGATCAAGATGATGTTCGTTTCAGTATTTGACTATGAAGATTTGGATAAATGATCATTAATTTTATAATCAAAATTATGATAATAAAATGATGTATCTTTCATGGGAAAGAGAATAACACATACTATCAGTCATTTGAATATGAAAATAATGATCATCAAATTTGATTTTTTCCAAATAATTAATTGAAGTTTTGAAAATTTGATCTGAGTTTCTAAATCTCCTACGAGCGCAACCCCTCGTAATTAATTCCATCGTAGAAAACCTGCGAAGACTCTCAATTAAATAAAGGTAGAAATTTCATTTTGGATTTTTAAAGACTAATATCAAGGGAAGCAAGGTTGAAAATTCAACATGGATTGGATTGAAATACTTATTTCCGGAGGTTAAAGGAGGAAATGTAGGAGGTGCTTTGAGTTTTTGAAATATTTCAGAAGCATCCCAAACTATCCTAAGTGTTGGACTCAAATTTTGGATTAAAAGAAATTTAAATTTGGATTATCAATTTTATTAGAAAGTTGAGATTTAATTTCTAGAGGTTTGAGATCTTATAGTCCAAACCTCTCTTAGAACCTAAGTTTGAATTTGTTACTGGATATTAATAACCCGAATCTTGCTAATGGAATGCAAATCTGGACTTACCCCGGCCTGGATTGGGTTGCCAGTTAACCACATAGACGCTTTAAAACCATGAGTCTGATGACTTATGAAAGAGTGGTAGGGACTTTGTTTATTTAAATTTTAGGAAATGGGGCTGACATTTAGAGCATATCCTAATTTGACCCCTTGATTTATGTTGGGTAATCTGAAGCTTAAAGTAAATGCAATTAAATTTTACTCATTTTAGATTTGTTTCTAATACAATGGATCCAAATTAACTCGATAAATGCTTAAAATTGAATATAAAGTAATTTTAAAATTAGACTTATAAAATAGATTTTATCCTAAGAAATGCACAACTTCCCCTTGATAAGACTGCACCCTAATAGATCATGTATCCTACCAGAACCAGCAGACGGAGATGTGCCTAACAAGGAAGAGAACGTATGATATGAATGCATGAAAAATCCTTGACAATCTCAAGCTTACTTCTTAAGACGTTAGAGTTTATATATTGAATTAAATATTTTAAATTTAGCTAAAATAGAAAAGATTTTTAACATGCTCTCACGAGCCTCCAATCGTTCCAAGCTAAATCAAAAATGGCATGCAAGTAAAAAGACAAAAAAAATATGGCATTTCTACTGCGCAATCAATGTAAATCAATCAATTAAATTAAATACTTAAATTGAATGTCCATGTGGCAAGTGCCACTTAATATTACAACCTAGAATTGTTGAAATTAAAAGTGACCGGGTACCATTAGCAACAAGCCCGAATTTCTAATCCGAAGACATGTGACTTTGAGAATGAGATTTTTCTCAATCTTCACTCATTCGTCCTTCTG